TAATTTAATTTGTTCATTGACGTACGACTTGTAATCATTTAATCTACATTTCAACTATTGTGTTTTGGAAATTCAATTAAGGCATAGTATGCCAATGTATAATAAAAAATGATGTTGACAAACAAAAAAAAGTTCGAATTCATTTTTTCCTTGATCTTTTTTCATATAATATCAATAAAGATTCGGTTGTTGAAGAAAAAAATGTATCGGTATATATTTCATTCTGTAACTCCCAAATACTTTCCTTTTAAATCATTTTCTAATAATAAACGCGGTTTATAACGTAATGAAGATAACGGTTCTACTGAATCATATTTTTGAAAGTAAAGTTTTATTCTATAACATTTTGCAGTTTTTTATTAGAAATTTTGCTGTGTCTTATATGTCACGTCACGTATCACATGTCACGAAATTCTCAAAAATCAAAATTTACCGGGTGGATGAAATTAGCTGTAAATCAATTAAATAAAAAATTTCTATCACTACATTGTTCAAAATTAAATAAATTTTAGCTCGTGATAAAGAGAACAAGTATATGTTATCTGAAATCGTCAAACAATTCAAAAAAATCAAAAATTTTATGGGACAATGATGTTAAGTATAAGTACTTGTACAAAACGGGAATGTCATAAAGATTACAAACGAGTGAACTGAGTTGAGATAAAATTTTAAAAAATTGTAGTGATTAAATCATGCATAAGTTCGTTAGTATTGTTTCTTAAAAAAGAAATTTTATGGAAGATTTTCTTCGCAAAAAATTAATTATCACATCCTGTACAATTAAAAGAAAAATTTAAATTTACATATTATCCATCAATTCTGTTACGATCTTCTTTATTATAAAAGAATATATATATACAATTAAAGGAAAAAAATTTTTATACATAAGAAAAAAGAAGTAAATAATAAAGAATACAAAAAAAAAAAATTATAAAGGAAAAAGTTGGTTCAATAATCTCAAAAGATGTGATTGAGAAATGTCTTTGTTATATTTACAATAAATTTTTTTTTTTTGGTCCATTTTTGAATTTTTTGAAAAATAAATAGTCTTTTAAGAATCTTTTGATTCCCAGCAGTATGTCAAGGATATTTTTCATTTTCAAAAGCTTTTTTCTGTACGGAAAATCGCTTCCTCTTTACTTTCATACAAATCATAATCATCATCTCTATCTCTTAAACCCACAACGTTAATGATTTCTTGGCAATATTTCTCCTCTTCCTCTTCTTTTATATCTACTTCTCTCGTAGCTTCACTTCCTATTGGAGTTGATTTTGAATTCTCATTTATTATTATACTTTGCCTTTTTGATCCAGATTCATAGTTAAACGTTTCATTGGCTTAATCTGTAATGTAGATATCTTATAACGCGATAGTAGACGTGCTAGCTCGACGTAATACTTAAATGTTGCGAAATCTCCTCATCTCTTAAAAAAGCGTGTGAAAGAGAGGTTGGAGACAGTGTAGGTAGGGTGAAGGTGAATTTTCAGTTTCTGCATCTATTATTGTGATATTTAGATATATATACAATTATAAGGGTCATAATAAAGAGTATTACAATAAATGAAATCATTATTATGATGAGAATACGATTATTTTCTCGTATAGAGGCAGAATATTCTTTCCTGGAATTGACGGATCATCTAGAGAAGTTGGTAAAGAGAGGGAGGAGTTTTCTGTGTTATTATTGTATAGATTATAATGTTTCAAATGTATCTGTTACTGTTAGTTCTAAGTTTGAAACAAAAGAAAGAAAAAATGGTAAAACATTTCAAAGCATTAGAAGAATTAAAATATTTTTTTTCTTGTTTTTTTTTCACGAATTATTTTAACTAACCAATGGTTGTTGATTTTATCGTACTTAAAATTGGATAACTTAGAAATACGGTCAGTGAAGTTGTATAGAAATCTCCAAGTAGGTGCATCTCCGCAAGTGACTATATCGAAATGAGTACCTACTGTAAGAATCCAAGATCTAAAAAATAAAAAATAAATTTTTTATTGAAGTAATACAGTGACGAATGTATTCTAAACAGGTTCATAAGATACTCTAATGATACCCAATTACATATAGGTATTAAATCAAGCAGTTTCTTAAACAATTGACACATTAAGTGTAAGCAAGGGTTTGAAACTTACCTTTATAATTTAAATTTGATATTATCGTAATAAACTTTTTTTAGTAATATTTTGTAAATATAGTTGTCATCGTTATGGTTAAAAAAGTAGTTTAATGTATTTAACGATGTAAGTATACTAGTAGAAATATATTATTCGTTTGTTTAAGTATAACAAGCAAGTGTTATGATAAATTTTTTTGGATTTTTGTACTAAAATAAAAATTTGAAAGAAAGAGTTGAAGTTATTTCATTTGTGAAATGTTTTTTTTAAAAGTATATATTGTGTAAAAATTTTTATTAGGAAGATAAACAAGGCACGAAAAGTATAAAATATATATTCAGTACGTGTAGCGTGATTTTATATTAGTAATTTAAAAAGAAAGATTTTCACGTGATTTTAACTTGTAAAAATTTGATGTTAGTTTGTTATCTTTAGTTATGTTATTATACGTAAAATAATGTGAAATGTTAAGCAAATTTATGAACGGATGGTATTCTTTTTAGGGCTCACTGTCTATATTAAATCAACATTCATATTAAAAATTTTCCTTCCTTAGATGATGATCAAACTCTTGTGACAAGCCAACAGAGGTACAAGTTCTAAAATTTTAATTTTAATGTAAAGCAAGCGCCAACGTCAAGATTTGATTGATAATCCCCATATAGTTGCTTGGTTCTTTGAAAAACTTTTTAAAGTTTTTCTAGAAAAGGTATTATTTCTAAATGGAAACTAAAGGACTGGTGGTACTGCTTTGAGTGGCAACACCAAGAGTATTCACATTCACTGTATCAGAATAATGCAAGATGCACCTGAAATTCATTGAAAAATATGAAAGAAATGGACTAGTATATTACAATACTTCGACTTGTTTATTATCACGATCAATCCAGGACCTGATTCTCCCATTCCAAGTCAGCACTCTTATCAAAAAAGTCACCAAGAATTATCTGATAACTTGTAGATACAAAGCATACGAGATGTATTATCTTCGAATAAATAAGAAAGGTCAATAATATTGTCAATTTGGATATCCAAAAGATATCACGAAAATATCACAATCAACATGAGCTGATCACAGCAAGAAATAACTCATGTGTAAATCTGCACAATTGACTTTAGCTTCAAGGTTTGCGTGTAAATGTCAATTTGAAACCTGTTCTCAACACTTGAATCTTATTACAATATGTTGCAAAGTACGCGAGTAAATCAGAATCATACTCTGAAGCTTTCTTAGATATCTTACATCGTATTCTTCATGAGAATGAGCCTTCTGATTCTTCTTTTGGGTTGTTCCAACGGTTATTACTCCATACTATTACAGAAAGAGATATTCTACACAAGAAACATGTTACTTGCTTCTTGGGCTTCCTTTATACCATTTAAGTTACCAGTTCGTTACCTTAAATCTAAATAAGGAAGCATCACAGTGGCTTTGTGGTTCTAGAAATAAAGAAAGAAGAAACTTTGTAATAGACGAGATTAGACGTATGGAACGTTTATTTTTGCAAAGATATTGGAAATGACTCAGTGATCTCAAAGATCTTACACTTTCCAGCTCCACCTAAAGTATAATTACTACAAAGGTAATTGAAAGAAATGTAAAATGAAAATATCGTATAGATCTAGCTAAGACCATCACCTCAACGAAACGTTCCTCAATGGGAGGAATTTTTGCCACATGAAAGTTTTACTTCATGTTCCTCATCGAAATCTTGATCAGTTAACTGAAAATAATACAATTTCTTGGTCAGATCTCTTAATTCAACATCTCGAAAAGATCGAAACGAACATGAATTACTTAGATCTCCTATAGAAAATGGGCTTATTAACGAAGAAACTGATAAAAATCTGGAAATAAGTGAAGTGATGATGAAATACGACCATATTGGATGATTCTAGTGAAAATAAGCCTGAACACAATTGTCGATGGACACTACTAATGCATAAGGATTTAGTCAATGATTGTATTGCAGACTATCAAACATTAAACGAGAAACTGATGATGATATTTAAATGATCGAATCATAATATTGCAGCACAATTACAGGTTGTAATCTAATTGAGTCACTCAGAATTATTATTATGGGTACTGCGGGAACTGGGAAGTCATATTTAATTAACATGATTGATAGACAACTTCAACAATTAGCAAAAAATAATAATATCGAAAGCACACCTTTAATCAAGCTCGCACTAATTGGAGTTGCAGCGTTCAACATTTATGGGACAACAATTCATTCAACTCTTTTCATTCTTATATCTTGCTCTAACTTTTGATATTGGTGGTGAACGACTAAAAAACCTACAAAAAATGTTACATGATGTCATTTACGTAATAATCGATAAAAAAGCATAGTTAGACGCTGAATGCTTTCTTTAATTGACATACGATTACATATGGTCTTGAGGCGCAGATATTATTGTCTGAAGGTTCACGTATTATGCTCCGAGCTAATTTGTATATAAGGTAATGGCACAATCAGAACAGTTCGTGATATTCTGTTCGAAAATGGCCGGAAACCACCTTTTCTTCCCATTGCAGTTCTAATTCCACCTATACGACGTACCTGGAAGACGAATACAGACTTTGCTAATGCTTACAAATTCCTGTTAGCCTTTCCTGGGCTATCACTGTTCATAAAGCCAGGGGCTGGCACTATCAAAAGCTGTTATTGATATCGGAAATAAAGAATTTATTTTAGGTCTATCATTTGTTCATATCTCAAGTTCATGCTCTTGAGAATATTCTCTCTAAATCGTTCTCGTATGGTAGGCTTCACCGAATGAATAATAGTAAAAGAATGCAAGAACGGAAAATTGAAGAGAATGTTGGTTACTTTTAGAAAGAATTTTAATGATGTCATAATAGATCTAGAACAATGTCAAATTATAATAGTATGACGAAATGTAACTTCGGACCCACAACGGGTCACGTTTTACTGGTTTTAACCAAAATTCAATAAATTACCTTAGCAAACTTATGTGTATTTTATATATCGAATTCGATATGGCTTACTAATTTCTCTTTTCTAAGCATGTTCAAGCATGCTTCATACACATGTATTTTCAATTTGTCCAAAATCAATTTAAAATAATACCGGGAGGTTAATTATTGATTTGAGGAACGAAATTTATTTAGAATATTTACTCTAAATATTTGTAAAACATCGAATCAAAGTTTTTGCCGGTTACTATGTTCAAGTTAGCCGAGTTCCATTCTTTATACAATAAGTCAGCTTTTAAAGTTTTCTATTGACTCGTTCTAGTAAATATTTGGACATTTTAAAAACATTAATATTAACAATTAGAATTGCTGATCAACTGTTACTAAATTCCACGACTTCTGGAATGTAAGTAGTACACACACTTTACTCGTTCAAAGGTGTTTATTATTATAAAACATTATTATATAAACTTCAATTTAATTCCTAAAATATTGGTTTAAATGATTTGCTCGATATCACTGAGCATTTATTAAAATGCAAATGTGGAACACAGTCAACTTTATTTAATTTCCATGGTTTTTAAGAACTAGAAAATATTTAAATGAAATTTTGGAGAAACTGAAAATAATGCAGTATTATGCAATTAATATTTTAAACTTTCCTCAAACCTTTAATGATCACAATTCATAGTTTTATTATAAACCACCAATCGATTCAAATTTAATGATCCTGATGCGTGTCATATGTGATTCAATCGTAATTTATCAATAAAAAAAAAATTTTAATGAAGCGGCATATCGAATTAATATTTTGTAAAAAAAAGATCTCTAACATTAAAATAAATCATTTCGATAATAAAAAATTCGGATGATCCGGGTTAATTCGGATAATAAGGTAATTCGGATAATTAAGATAATTCGAATTTGATATGCCGGAAAAATTAAATTTTATAATATTACTTACATTGATCTCTAAAGAATTTTAAAAAAGCGTGATGTAGATTTTCGCGGCAATAAAAATTTCATTAAAAAAATTCGTTACGATGCGAAATTTCTTAATAATATGCTTAAAAAAAATTCGTGCTAAGAAGTTTTGTTAAAAGAAAATAAAGTGAATAATCAAATTGTAGGACATTCCTAAGCTAATGGGACGACATGGTAAATTATATGATCCATAACGTGATTCAACCCATATGAATTTGGAAATGTCCTTTCGGTAAATCAGGGTTCGGGAAAATGACATTCGGTGTGACATCGAGTGCTAAACTTTGTATATTATATTGTTATTAAAAATGGGCTTATGTATATTAGGGAAATGAATTTTGTATGATGTACAGTACTTTCAACTCACTTCGTTAAAATATTAATTTTTTTTAATAAATACTAGCTGCCGCCCTGTTGACAAAGTAACGGAGCAGATCACGTGACGTTACATATGTATTCAAAAATGGAAACTAGCGTATCCTATTTGCATAAATTAGCCCATTTTCTTAAGCATTTTTCTTTTTTCAGTGTTGTGTAACGTAGTTTAATCATTATTATTTATACATGTATTCTAACCGTTACCGCAAAAGAAAGTTGAATTGATTGTCTAATAGAAAATAGTTCAGTTAAAAATATATAATAGACTAACGAATCCTTTATGGGATTCAGTATATGATTGTGAATTCTTTGTTCATATGAGTTGTATAATATTCCTTATATAATTAAAATATTGTAATTAGGGTTTTCGTTTGAAGTTTAAATATTCTATCGAAATCATTTTGAATGTATATCGAATATTCAAATATCTTACAAATTAGAATCAAGTATAATTTGAGTTATTTCTACTAATATGATGAATAAATAGAGAACAAAGGGAGTTTTTCTTTACGCCAACTGGTAATTCATTAGCTATTTTAGTAATTTTCTAAAAATCATACTTTAAATACTAACAAACTATACATGGGCGTAATTAACTGTAACAACCTTCTTACAGCAGCATCTCCACCATCAGAGGCAAAAGGAAGCGTACCACCATCAACCATCATCATCAGCAGCAGAAGCAGGAGTAAAGTAACCACCACCACCAGCATTGCTTACAATAAAATAATAATTATAGCAAATAATAAAATGAACATAATACAATATGTAAAAAAAAAAAATACTACAGTTATAACCGAAGCATTCGATCCTGGACATCTAAAAAAAAAAAGAAAGAAAGAAAGAAAGAAGGAGGGACATATCGTTAAAATTTTGTATTCGGTCATAAAATCGGTCACTCAGTCATTTGAAAATAGCAAACTTACTTTTTTTGTCTTTTTAAATTCAACTCCTGACTCCATTGGTTTGCATTCACTATTCATGATGTTAAGAATTAATATTCTAAATAATTTATTTGGTAAAAATTTTGTACACCAAAAAAAAAAAAAACTCGAGTCTAGAACATCTTTTTCTACGAATTCCATACAATTTTCGAATGGTGAAGAAATTAACTAGTTCCCGGGTTGTCTGACCCGACTCGAATTTTTCTCGAGTCGAGACTGTCATTTTTATGACACGAGCCCTAATTCAAAAAAACCCGCCGGTCCGGATGATCAGGCGCCCTAGACTTTTTTTTTGTTTTAGGTTACGCGACTTTAATTTGTAACAAATAAGTAAACCTACCGAAACTTTTTCTACAAAACGAAAAATATTGCGGAGTAAGCAATTATAGGTAAAAAAAAAAAAATAATGATTATTAAACATTAACTAATACATTTTTTATAAAGCAACAAGTGTTCCAGTAGAACGAGTTTTTCTGGCGGAACTGATCTGATTAATGATGAGGGACGAAACCCCTTAATAACAGTCGAAACTTAGACGAAACTATATTAAAATCATAATAACAGATACGACGAAACCCTTTCGATACGACGAAAGCCGAAACTGTCGAAACTATATTAAAAACATAGAAAAGGGTATGACGAAATTATTTTGAGGAGGTTTCGGCAGGCATCTATAGATCTGATATCAACCAAAAGATGTATTCTTAAAGCTAATACAATTCGCCTGTAAGTTCTTGAAATTCTGATGAAAAAGATGTAAAAAAAAAAAAAAATAGGAATTAGGATTAAGGCTCACAAAAAATTAAAAAATTTAAAAATAAACTTTATATGACACTTTATTTATTTACCCTTGAAAATTCGAGTCGAATCCGGGTCGAACAATGATCGGGTCGAGTCGAATTCGGGTTCTGTAATTATTAATGGGTTCGAGTTCGAATATGCCTTAAACCCGACCCTTACGGAGCACTAAATTTAACATACAAGCGAATAGAAGTTATAAATTAATTTCATAGTATTTTTTGTCTACTCCGCAAGTTTTCAGGAAAGGTTTTAAATGTCGTTTTTTTTTTGTATTTCATTTTTAGAGACTTAAATTTCCCGTACATTCAAAAAAAAAAAAAAAAAAAAAAATTTTTTATTATAGGAAGTGATGAATATCGAATACGTTGGACTATTAAGAGTAACTTGGTATCACAAAAATTAAATTTAAATATTTCTTTTAGCATTCGATTTAGAAAATAAAATTTTATTGAAAAATGTATATAATTATGATTAAACGTTGTTGGTACAAATTAAGTTCTAAAATAAATATAGCAACAATAGTAAATGATATATTCAAGTTCCATTACAAATCGACAAAAGGAATTAATTGACTTATTTTAATAAAATACTTAAAGGCAAATTTAAATAATTATTTCACTTTGCAAAA